AAATGACAGAGTAATGTTTCCATGCACAAATAACTTCCTGCTAACGGTGTTTTATAAAGAAGAAGGAGGATTATTTTCCAGGGTTTCTTTTGTGACTGTATACAAGGAAAGCTGATATGTAATTGTATCAGAGTCGATAGATAGTTCTGAAAGTGCCTCCCACTTTCCTTTTTATTAGAAAAATTGTCTAATTTCCCCCCTTTTCACGCCTCTCCCTATTCTTTGCTAGTTTTTGCACCATTTATTTTTCTCTCTGTAGACTTCACTAACAGTGCAGTTGGTATCTATCTCATCCTCTTGATGTGAAGGTCAGCCACCATATATTGATAACTTTGAGTATCCAATCTTTTACATTGAAACCTTTTCAATGCCACTCATATATAAAAGTTCAGTCCTTTAGCCCCAGTTTACTGCCAATAAGCCACAATTGTGTTATTGCAACCTGCTACTACGTTGCCAATTACATCAACATTTGCTGTCACATTCAAGTAAGTACTGTATTGAGATTCTCCTTTACCTAACATCAGGGTAACTGGTCCAGTTTGATGAGAAACAATTGTCAGTTGTTTCAGATCATTTGTCAGAATGTAACTAATTATCTTCACTGGTCCAGAATCCTCTTGGTCCTTCAATGGAACTTGAAGTCAATGAGACTTTGATTATGGTTTCTTGACACGTGCATCACCATATGCAGCATTCTGAGTTTTAGCTGCACTACGGCAGGAGGGGTCTAATTATCAAGGACCCAGCCCTCCAGCACGAGTGTGACTGCATCTTCAAAGCATCCACTTAGGCCACAACCAGCTCCTTCATCATTCAGACAGCTGCTACCATCCTTAAGACTTTCTTTCTGCCTAAATAAAGCAAAGGCGAGTGGCCATGTAGAGAAGGAGCCAGAATATACATATCCCTAACTACTTCTTTCTCTACTTGGCCTTGTCTGTGTCAGTATTTGTGCTTTGAAAGTGCATGGATGGATGTCTGGCTATTATTCTATTTCTTCTAAATTCTCCAAAATATCTCTCATAGTACTTTCACATGAAATGCAGAACTATTGTAGAAGTAAATTTTGCCAATTAATCTACAGAAAATTACTAGGTCCTAAAAGTTCCATGCAAACTGAAAAATGGAATGCTCAAAAACAGCATAAAACAAACTTGAGAAAACAATTAGTAAAAAGTATCAGGGAAGAAACATTTTACCCAACCGGTTTTGACCAACTATAACAATTTACTTGGATGATACATATACGCATTAATGAATGATTAAATGTGCTGATATTTTTCAAAAACATGTTTTCAAGATTGTTGACGTCTAGTTGTCAAGCCAAGCAAGCCTGGAAATCTGATAGTATAATTTAATTCCAGATTGGTTTGAATTTGTGTTCTGAGTGACTCCTCGTTGTATATTGTTTGTTTTATTTGGATAAACTATAATTAGCATATAAAAAGTATTAATTTAGAAGAGGAATTTATGGTTTTAGTCTGTATAAGAAGGGCCATATTGGGTCAGAACAATTGTCCATCTACCCCAGTATCTTGTCTTGTGAAAGGTAGCCAGTGCTAGATGCCTCAGAGAGAGCAAACAAAACAGGGACATTTATCAAGTGATCCATTCCCTGTCATCAGCATCCTACTACTCCTGCTACTACATTTTTGGTTAAATTATATCTACTGTACCTAATACATTATTTCACTGTATGTAGTCATATAAATACTGATACCATTAAAATAATATTTTAATGCCATTTGGAATGAAAACTGCATGAAATGCTAATTTCCGGTGAAAAGGTAAATGAATATTAGTCAGTGTTCAGCAAACTGCTGTATCTACCACAGATGGGTGCATATGAGAATCAGATTACATGTGCAAAAGCTGAGCAGCAGTCCCAGCTAAAGAGTTTGTGGGGCCCAAGGTAGCACGTTGAAAGTGGGGCCTAGCCAGTGGATGCAGGGGCAGAAGTTTGTCTTCTTGCTGCGATTTGCTAGGGCAACCCTGTGCGGACACCCCTTCATACCTCCACTCCCATGCTTCCAGGGTCTCTGGGCACGCTCCAGCTCAAAGAGCTCTGTGATGTGCCTGCGTACTTACATGTGCTTAGCACTGACATGAGCACCATACTGGCTTTGTGCAGGGTACCCCTGGGTTTACATAGCAGGATCTCACTGGTCTCACACCATCCTGTAGCCTCTGCCCAGTCAAGTGGGTGCCAGGCCCAGTCTGGTGTGCTCCTGGGAGCAGCCTCCCCTTAAGACATTGCTATTTCTGGATGGGCAGCCAGATCCTGGCTCGGGCTCAGGGGGCCAGCTCAGCCTTCCCCCACCCTCTAATGGAGAGCCTGCCCATTGGCTCCCAGCCCCCTCTCG